TGAACATGAAACTCTTTTCCCTCTGCAGCTCTAAGCCTAAGGAAATGGGCACTAAACTACAAACACACGCACACACAGACCACCTATAATCCTTACAGCTGGGACACTGAGAATAAAGCCTGCTCCCGAAACCAGCAGCCCCCCCACACACACACACACTATGTGTGTGTCCCACCCTTGCCATCCCCGCAACCACAACGGTTTTATCTATTTCTTTGATCCTGTGGTGATCCGGAAGTAAATACATGAGTCTGTTAAGATGATCCTTCACGGCCTATAGTAGCATCCAGCAGAACTGTAAGATCTTTCAAGGACTCATTCTCTACCATGTCTCAGATGGACTTTAGGAAGCTCGTAATAATCTATTTGCACAATAATGGCAAAATGTCACCTACAGGCCACCTTCAGAAGGGCCACCTCTCCTTTTCACAAAAGGAAACAGAGCTGGGGAGGTCATCTGCTCCAAATCAGAGGGCTGAGCGGGTCCCTCTAACTTCCTGTGCTTGCTGCACTCTTCCATGTGTGATGGGAAAAGAAACCATTATTTGCCGCCTGCCTTCAGCTAAAGCTTTACACCAAGTACTGTAAGTTCTGACTGTCGGTCCTAACAGGATTACAGTTCATCATTAAAATACCCAACAGGGCCGCCTGGGTGGCTCAGTGGGTTAAGCCTCTGCCTTCAGCTCAGGTCATGATCTCAGGGTCCTGGGATCAAGCCCCGAATTGAGCTCTCTGCTCAGCAGAGAGTCTGCTTCCCTCTCTCTGTCTCTGCCTGCCTCTCTGCCTACTATGATCTCTGTCAGATAAATAAATAAAATCTTTAAAATAAAATAAAATATCCAACAACCTGAGTTTTTTTTTTAAGTACATCAATTACCTTTATTAGTTGCAATCCTAAGTTAGTTTTCCTTAGAACAGTAATATTTCACTTTTAGTGTTACTCATCCATTAAAGCAGCATCACCGCACTGTCAAATGAACCACACACAACAACTGACGCGTGCATCCCACCTCTATCTGGGCCAGCGCCGGCAGCATGGCCTTGGGAAGCCTCTGGAACAGACCCTAGGAGGCCCCTCCTCCACCCCATCCTGAGTAGGAGCCAGGTGTCTCAGTATCATGGACGGCTCCTCACGCTGAGGTCCTAGGTCCGCCTTGCTCCACTGGAAAACTGGGGAGGAGGGGCTGGCTGTGCAGGGGAGGCAGGGGGATATGAGGCCACTTTTGGGATTTCTGCTCTTCTCTCACTCAACCTACAGGCCAAGGGCATAGGAGGTGGTTCCACTGGAGAGGGGAGCCCTGCCCCTTGGGGCCCAGAGGAAGGAGGGAAAGAGCAGGGATTAGAGAAGTCAGAGCTCTAGTGGGAGGGGTGAATGGTGGGGAGATGCAGAAGAGATAGAACACTTGAACATACAGGTGCAGCAAACAAACCCCAGAGGTGGTGACCAGCCAGGCAGGAAGGGGGAAACACCCCTCACCATCTCAGTTCACCTGTGCTCAGCAGGCCCTCAAATATATAGCGGACAAACACTGAAACGAATGTATCGATAACAGCTTGAGGCTTTGCAGAGTTGGAATCCACAGCACTAGCAGCAAGGATCCCAGGCAGGAAAATAGTGCTGTTAGCACAGAGAAGGAGAGCAAGAGTTAACCCAGTGCAAGAAGGGCCAGAAACCTGAGGGGGTGACATCGGGGGGTGGGCTGCTCCCTCGACTCTCCCCAGACCCAAAGGCAGCTGGCTCAAATTCATCCAATCATATTCTTTAATAATCAACACACACCAAGGCACACCCGTGTTTTTATTTCCACTTTAGGATCAAAAACAGGAATGGACTTCAGGAACGCAGGCTACAGCTGAACTCATCATCCAATCCTGAAAAACACACATGTACACACACTCTGTCTCCATCTGTCTCTCCCCATTGGCCCCTGGCTAGCCTCACACAGGGACCCTGAAACCTCTAACATTTTCCTTCCTACTTCCCCTCCAGAATCCCTGCATGGATCCCACTGTCTTTCTCCTAGATATCCCTGGTTCCCTGAATCTGGCCCATCACCCTCTCCACACTACATCCAAGTAATGTCTTTCAAGGTGCAGCCCCAGTAGGTAAGTGCCCCGCCAGTGGAGCCCAAGCAATCTCTCTTGTCCCGCTGAGAACCCCCAAGCATCGGAGACTGGCCCACAGCCTGGCCTCTGGTCAAGGGGGAGGCCTCACCAGGCTGACTTCCTGCCTTTGCCCCTGCCCTGCCCAGGATGGAAAATGTTCCTTCAACCCTCCTGGGCCAGGAGCCCACTGAGTCTTCAAGACCCATCTCACATGCTATCACCTCTCCCAGGACTCTCCCTTCAAATCCCCAAAGGTGCAGGTGGCTGTCCCGTAAGCCTCATAGCACACACTCATCTCAACAACCCCCACAGCTGGGTCCAGGCACCTGGGGCCTCCCACACAGACTGCTCTCTGTCTATCTGCCGGAACAGGTCAGTACTTTCCTCCTCTTTTTTCCTGCTTTAAGAGTATGGACACCACCACACTGCGACAGTCACAGAAAATCCACATCCCAAGATGAAACCACATGAAAGCCCCTCAACACACGCTGTCCTGCCCCAGCAGCACACATTCACTAACACGGTTGGCAGACGGACACCCACCTCCCAATCTACAGCTAGGCACGCAGCCACACCGCAGTGAGGATGGGACCCACGGCTTCCCACACCTCCCAAGGACACGGGTGGGGCTTCCCCGACACACCCCTCCCACCGTGAAACCGAGCAAAGAAAGCCGCACTCACCAAGCCTCTTGGGCATGGGGTGTAGACAGGCACTTAGTGCACGCACAAATGTTTGCATGCGCACACCTACTGCAGCTCTACATGCTGGGTCCCCAAGCGATCCCAGCAGGTGTTTCAAAGCCCTCTCCTGTTCCTTCTCGGCTCAGCTGCTGGGGGGTGGGTTCATAGACCCAAACTGTTCTGTTTAGGTCTCTTGTGCCCCAAGAATGGGTAAGGGGTAAGGGGGTCCTGAATGGGTGCCCTCCCATCACTTTGCCCTTGCCCAAAGGCCCCACGTCTGTCTCACCAGCAGGCAACTGTGCCTGCCGCTGCCAGGCTCAACTGTCAGCCAGGACTAGCCTCCTTGGCATAAGACCAGGGCAGAGCTGCACACTGCATATTTTACCACACTAAAGACATACGCTTCCACTCTTCTGATCAACCAGCAATCTTCACTCTTCAGATCAACCAGCAATCTCAATTGTTAAGCACTGCCCAATTTTACAGATGGTTTGTGCACCGAGTTCCCCAAGGAGTCAGCTATTTAGAAAAAGAAAAATCCCCACCCACCCTGCCAGAGAACCAATGGCCTGTGTAGCAGGTAAGGCTCCCCAGTCAGTCAACTAAAGCTTTTTAATACACTCTGGATTTGAAATACAGAACCTCGAATGCTTTCTCAAAGGACTGAAAGATGCTCCCAACCAAATTTATCTACCTGGCTCTAAGAAAATAACTCAAGTCCTTCTTGGAATGCCCAGAACACATCCCCTCCCTCTCACAGGTCAGTGACACCCTGCCCCTCCCCTCACAGGTCCTCTAAGGAGACCATCCCCCTGGGGTAAGGGAGGTGCTCAGAGTGGTGCCTACAGGCAGGCCTGCAGGGGCTGGGGTTGGACAACTCCAAGAGCTGGGCACCCCCACAGCCTTCCATCCATCCGCAGACCTGCCAGGAAGCTGCCCTATCCCTTCCCAGGACGCAGCCTGCAAGGCCAATCAGAACACCTTAACTCTGCTCATAGCCCTTCCCGTATTTCTCCCGTCCCCAGGTAAGGGCAACCCTCGGGAGGTCCCTGAGGGTTCAGACTCCTCAGAATATAGTTCACGAGTCTCAAGCTGCCTTCTGTAGCTTCTTGTTCTTGTTCCCCTCGCAAAGAAGGCAAAGCCCTCCTCAGGCTGTCTCTAACAGGGCAGGGGACAGAACTTCCGAGTGTACTCTGCTGCCCTTCCACTGGGGACAGAGGGCCCTGCCAAAGCAGGCTACAGGCCGAGAGCAGAGCCGGGGGTAAAGGAGGAGGCTGAACTGTGATGAGGGTGGAAGAGCAGAGAGCAGAGGAATGAGTAGCCCGCACAAGGAGGCAGGCAAGGACGGTTCTTTTCCTTCCCGTGCCAGCTCCATACCCATTTGAGCTGGGGGCTGGGGATGCAAGGTGAACCAGCCAGAGTCCTGGCACCGAGGGGAGCACAACCCCATGGGAAAAGACACGAAAACAAAAAGGACAGAGTGGAATAAGAGCCACATCAGAAGACTGTACACGAGATGCATGTGTGGGGATTCAGAGGAGGCAACGACAGAAGCCTTGGGGACACAGGCGTGCTTCACAGAGTGGGAGGGACAAGCCGGGAGGATAAGTAGGGTTTACTGGTTGCTGGGGAGCACAAGCACAGGAGGAGAAACAGCGGCCTCGGGGAGGAGCTCAGCCCAAGGCGAGTGCAGGGCTCAGAGGCCAGCCCATGGCAGGGTGGTGGGACAGAGAGCAAGGGAGAAGCCTATAGGGTGGGAGTGGCCAGATTCTGAACGGGGAGTGGGGCTGTAGCCTGGCAGGCAGCCCAGGGGAAGATGCAATGGGAACAAGATGGGCAGGGGGGGTACAGAGTGGAGAGCAGAGCCACCCTGGAGGCAGAGAAACCAGTGGGCACCAGCAGAGCAGTTAGGTCTGAACTAAAGGAAGGGGGACAGGAAGGGGATCCTGGAGAGAATGAGACCTGCCCACTGGGGATCCGGAAGGAGCGGAGAGTGAGTTTGAGTCTCCAGCTTGCCCGCCTGGGGAAGAGAGGCTGGGCCCTCCACCAAGAAAAGAAACACGGGGGTGGGGGTTGGGGGGTTGACCGTGGCCACTAAGATGCCCCCTGCCCCTGCCAGCTCCAGCTAGTCCTTCCGAGCAGCCCTGGGTGAGTGGCCTCGCTCCATGCCTCAGGGGGCTTCGGCACCCCAATTCAGCACCCCAATCTCACCTGCATCCAAATGTTGTCTGCAGCAAGGTTGTGATTCCCACGCAGAAGAAAATGGTCCCGATGAGCTGGCTGGTGGCCCACTGGTCGTAGCCCACGCACATGGCGTCGGCCAGCAGAAAGGGCACGGCGATGGTGCCACTGAAGCACGTCAGGTAGTGCTGTGGGTGACAGGAGGGGTTGGGGAGAGAGGAGCACTTCCTCGTGTTTCTGTTCGATCCTATCCGAACCGGAGCCCCGGTTGTTTGTGAACAACAGCCCACAGGAAGACTCTCTGGTGTTCTGGGTACATACGCCTACCCTGTAGTACATCCTCTCCCTTCTTTAGCGCTTCTCCTTCCTGGCACAGTTTCTTGTCTATGGCTCACCTGAGCCCGGCCTGCACAGGCTCTTTACAGAACTCTGACTGGGAACACCTGCTTTGTTCAAATGCTTTTTTAGCATCAGTTGCTAAGATCTAAGATCCTTTCCCTCTAATCTGTTGACATGAATTGTGTTGCATGGAACTATTCTTGAAACAAGCCCTCAGCAGTCATGCTAGGTTTTTCTTCTCGGGTGCGATTTGCCAATATTTTACATAGCATTCTCCATATATATTCTTGAGATCATCAGTCTGCCTTTTATTCTTTTTTTTTTTTTTTTTTTTTTTCTTAAATTCTCTCCAGTCTGTGGGTTAAAGTTACACAAGCGTCTATGCACAGGGTGTTTCCCATCTTTTTCTAGGGCCTGGCATTTTTGACTACCATCAGGAAAGGGTTATGGGTGTGTGGGAACCCTCCAGAAAGTGCCCATCCCCCATTCCTCCTTTGGGACCCAGCCCCCACTTTCGGCCCCTGGTGGGACATTCCGGGCATTTGCTGCTCACATCCCTTCTTCCCAGAGGTCTGTCTATTCAGGTCCCTCTTCTGTTCTGCAAACTTCCTACTTCCCTTCCCAAGTTTCCCGTCTCTGCTCTCATTTGCCAAAATGGGTTGCCTAACGCCCAACACTCCACTGTGCAACACTGTGAGGTGTTCCAGATGGGGAACAGAACGTTCCTGTCTGGGACTTTGCAGAGCTGCTCATAAGCTAAAGAGCACTGTAGATCGTCAAGAAAGGCATGACACATGCAAGGTTTCCTGATCCTATAAGACCAGGGAATACTTCTTCTAAAGACATCTGTAATATAAACATTTCCAAAAGCGAGTTTCCTGAATCTGATTCAGGATACTCAGCCCAAGCTAAAGACCACTTAGCTCCTTTAGCTGTGACTCCTTCTTTACTAGACACCTTTCAGTCCAGGTGACCAGCTGCTTTGATGCCCGTGTGGGAGGTGGGGACAGAGGTGCTGAGGGTGCTGGGAACCACACCAAAGCATCAGGTGTCTGCAGAGGCAGCCCCTCCTCCAAGTGACTACACGTGTCTGGGGTGCACTGGGACCGATTTTTCTCAGCATCTGAAATACCTCAGGTGGAACAGCCCATTCCAACTTGAGAAAGGAAGAAAGGAAGTCAAACCTCAGAACAGAGTCCGGGCTAAAACAACCAAAGCAGATATAGGCCAGGGGGTCAGGGCCTCTGGGCCTCCCACCAACCCATAAGTGAGAAAAGGGTACAGAGAGAGGGGAGAAAAATACCCAAGATACAGGGCCCGCGTCAGGCTGGGTCACCACCCGCCTGGTCTCCCAGCATCTGGTGGCTTGCCCACTGTGCTCCCACGGCAGTCTGCAGCAGACGAAGCCTCTACGACAGCGGGTCTCCCTTCCCATGCAGAGAAGACCGAAACCTCCTATGTGCATCCCGGCCAACAGGGCACTTCTTGGTGTCACCCCCATTTCACAGCAGAACTGACCACGACTGGACTGCATGACCAGGAATGAAGATCAAAACTTCTCCTCCCTCCCTCACTGCATTCTCCCCTCTTTCTCTATCTCACCGGTCCTTCCTCTTTCCTGCCACATCACTCATCTTGTTCATTCCTTGAGAGTTTTCCCTCTTTCATGCCTGGGTCCACCTCTTCCTCCTGTTCTTTTCTTCCTTTCACTACTATGAAACGGATGCTAATGAGTCCCAGTCACCATTGTTAAAAGAGTAATTTATAATAAAGTTGTCCATAAATAAAAATCAAAATTGAATTTTTAAAGAATCCAGACAGACAAGTTGAACATCTGCTGGTAGTTACATTCTAAGGGAACCATCTTACCTGTAACCCCAGAAATATGCACAGGTACCAGGGGGGGACATCTTCTATGGTATAAATCATGTCCGATCTCTGGGGGTCTAGACTGCCGGTACTATCCAGGGTTTCGGCAAGAGAGCTCTGTGAGTGACAGGGAGAAAAGGCATTATTTAATAGAAGCGAGGACCAGGAATACACTCAGCTCGGAGCAGGCCACTATTATTCAGAAACAACTTTATAAAGTGGTGGCCATGCTCTTGCAAAAATTAGCCTTGGCTGCCTTTCATGCAATGCTCAACACAGTCAGTGAGATGACCAGTCCTCAGAGTTTGGGGGCTCGGTATCCCTTGTCACAGTCTCATCCCCAAGAGCACCCAGCTTACTCAGGGTTTCTCCCCAAGCCCAGGGGGCCCTACACAGAGAGGGATGTTCCCTGGTTGAGCCCATAAAGGGATGCCTTGGCATGAGCAGTTCTCGAGTGGTGCCCCAAAGGAAGAAAACGTTATAAAATGCTAACCACTTTCAGACAAAGAGCACTAACCTGTCCCTTCTACTCTATCCCATCCCTGCAAGGAGAAAGATCGCTGTACTTCAAAACAAAGTCCTACACCCTCCTATCAAAACACAGCTGCTCTGACACATGGCGAGTGAAAAGTAAAATTTGAAAGGACACAGATAGGATTTCAATTTTTGTTTAAAAACAGACTAAAGATATATTTATAGTTTAGGGGACAGGGTTTTTTCCTTCCCTTCCCCCTCCCCATTACTATAGACTTCTAAAAACATTAAGTGTTGTATGCTTTTTGAGCCAAAATCTTCACGAAGACTGGACACTTTAGGTTATAGTCTAGACGTATTCAGTTGACGTCTACATTACTTCTCAGCTAAACAAAAAACTCAAGATAACCTCAAGTTCTCCCACGTACCCTCAAAACTGCTTCGGGTTCTAAAACTCAATGAACAATTTCTTAGAATCCGAGATGGGCACTTTAAGTCTTTTGTAACTTAAAAAAGTGCCTAAAAAGAAAAAGTAGAAGATGTTTCACAAAAAAGGATGATGACCTTCTGACATTATCTAGCCCCACTTTGTGCCCTCTTGTCCATGGATATGGTCCACAGAAAGACACTGACTCCCTGTTTGTCAATTGATTTCCTGTGCAGAGGCAGACAAGGATTTGGGGCCCAAATACCACTGAACAAAGGAAGTGACGCAATTCAGCCTCACCTTTTAAAGCCTAAGGGTAAATAAATGTCTGGTGTAAGTTGACATTTGAGCTAATCCAAACAAGAACTGAGGTTGACCTTTCAGAGAACTTTTCCTTCCATTCTAAACAACAAGATAGTGGCAGATTTGCATTCCTGAATGAGGTAAAATGGATCGCGTGTGCCTTTAAAAAACTGTTGGTAGGGGTGGTAGAGAAAATACATGTGTGTGAAGAGTGTGGTATGCACTAATGTGCAGGAAAGGGTTAACTCAGCAGGCCTGGATTGTCCAAGCCCTCACACATTTCAAAAAAATGGCTTGGGGGTGCTTGGGTGGCTCAGTAGGTTAAGCCTCTGCCTTTGGCTCAGGTCATGATCTCAGGGTCCTGGGATCGAGCCCCACATCAGGCTCTCGAGCCTGCTTTGGCCTCTTTCTCTGCCTGCAGCTCTGCCTACTTGTGATCTCTCTGTCAAATAAAATAAATAAAATCTTTAAAAAAGAAAAAAATGGCTTGGTCCTTGCCTGGCAATTGGGAGACAGCCTATGAATCCTTGGAATAGCCTGGAGTTTTTTTGTTTGTTTGTTTAAGTTTTTCTGTTCATTTGAGACAGAGAGGGAGGGAGAAAAAGTGAGTGAGCAGGGAGGAGCAGAGTGGGGAGGGAAAAGGAGAATCCTCCTCTTAAGAATGTGTCTGGGGTACCTGGGGGGGCTCAGTCAATTGAATGTCCGACTCTTGGTTTCAATTTGGGTCATGAACTCATGGATCGTAGGATCTGCCCTGCACTGGGCTTCGCACTCAGCATTCAAACTGCTTGAGATTCTCTCTCCCTCTCCCTCTGCCCCTCCCGCCCGACTCTGTCTCTGTCTCTCTCTCACACACTTTCTCTCAAATGAATCTTTAAAAGAAAGAAAGAAATAATAAGCTTTTAAAAGTCTAAAATGTTCTATAAATAGAACAAGGAAAACGTAATATAAAAATGAATTGAAGAAATAAAAAAAATTTCCAAGAACTAAAGGATATGTTTGCAAATTAGAAAAACCCACCAAGTACTCAATGAATTAATGAAAAACAATTCAGATATTCTGGAAGGCAGCCATGATACCACCAATGTTGCTCAGACTCAGATATTTTGAAAACTCAATAAAACAATCAACTGGATTAAGAAAGACCTTAAGGGGGCACCTGGGTGGCTCAGTGAGTTAAGGCCTCTGCCTTCTGCTCAGGTCATGATCCCAGGGTCCAGGGATGGAGCCCCGCATCAGGCTCTCTGCTCAGCAGGGAGCCTGCTTCCTCCTCTCTCTCTGCCTGCTTCTGATCTCTGTCAAATAAATAATTAAAATCTTAAAAAAAAAAAAAAAAGAAAGAAAGACCTTAAAACAGAAATTTAAGAACAAAGGGAAATAAAACATGTTGACAGAATTTTTTTTAAGAAAAGGAATAAAAAAGAAAAAAAGGAATAAAAAAATGGACGTGAAGGAGCATAAGAGAAAACAGACATGAATAACAAAGTAAGGGTCACAGGCTGGAAGTTGGGGGGTGGGTAAGAAATCAAACAATATAAGAAAAAAAAAGATTAGAGAGAAAGGATAGCTAGAGAAGGCTAGCAAAAGAGATCCAAAATATGTCCCTCAAATAAGAAAACCGAAAGAATAGACTGAAACAAAAAGTAAAGACAGAATTCAAGACAGCTTTCCTAAAATAAAAGGATCCTTAATGCTAAATACTCCAAGTGCTAGAAAACACTGACTCAGAATGGTCAACATCAAAACATATCTAAGTAAAGTTACTGAATATCAAAGATAAAGAAAGAATCCAAAAAACAGGCAAAAAGACCAAGATGCTGATAAAAAGAAGAAAACAAGACTGGCCCAATTTCTCCACAGCCAAAATCAATACCAGAGAACCAAAGAGTAGCAACAACAAGGTATCAATTATTCTCTTATCTTTGTACTACACAATTTTCCAAGCATATACAAAGGTGGAAATATGGAATACCAACCCCAACTCTCTCTCCAGCTTCAAAAATTACCAATGCTGTATTCTTGTCTAATCTATTCCAAGGGAACTTCCTTTTTCAAGAACTGCTGGCACTTTAATTTAATTTTATTTTTTTTTAAAGATTTATTTATTTATTTGACAGAGAGAAAGAGAGAGAGAGAGAGAGAGAGAGATTACAAGCAGGCAGAGAGGCAGACAGAGAGAGAGGAGGAAGCAGGCTCCCTGCTGAGCAGAGAGCCCGATGCGGGGCTCGATCCCAGGACCCTGAGATCATGACCTGAGCCAAAGGCAGAGGCTTAACCCACTGAGCCACCCAGGTGCCCCTAGCACCTTAATTTTAAACAGAATCCACACGGATTGAAAGTTTAAAAGGTCTTTAACTTTAAAAATAAATCTCAACATTACAAAAATAAGTTTATCTTCTATTTAACAAGCTTGGCGACCACTGCAACCACCCAGCTGTTGAAACAATGGGCAGCAAAAGACCCCAGTGCCAAGCCAGTGGGATATTCAAGTGGGTACACATTATAACTTCACTTGTAACTAGTTCCACATTTTGGCAATCTCTGCTTCCTAAAAACCTCATGCTATTTTATATTCTCCGGTCCTCCGTGCAAGGGACCTAGGAAGTGACACATCATAATAACCCCATTTTACAGATGAGGAGGTAGAGAACCTGAGGAGCCAAGCGGGTCGCCCAGCAGTTGAACACAAAGGATGTCCACAAAGGCTGCATTTGCCACCATGCTACAAACCTCCCAGGAAGAACAGGGTTGCTGCTTAGAAATTGCCAGAAACAACAGACTCTCTGAAATTGTGATTAATAGTGATTTGCCCAATACTGCTGCAACCACTTCACGTGCTGCTGTAAACACATTTTGTAGGGAAACTGTAGAACAACAAAATGCTGATATTTCAATGGGAACATTTAAACCGTTTACTTGTAGTTACTTCATTCCTGTTCCAAATACCCTCACTATAAACAAAGTTCAATTCCTTCAACAACCCTCAAAGAGGAATCCCAGTAATACCGAGGTCAAGTTCAGAATGTACTGGGTGTGGGTCTCAATGCTATGGTCTTAAAGATTCATGGTCCGTGACTCAAGGCATTATCCTTCTGGTCCGTTTCAGGAATAAATCCCTTTGAGCACATTCCAAGATGGGTATCTTGTAGCTAACACCATATTAACCAGCATTTACTATAAGGAGCTCAAGAGTATTAAGAGACACCAGAAGTCAGGTTTTGATAACATAAGAAAATACATGACAACTAACAGCTTGCTATAATTAGGAAAACAAACATGAATATGGAGAACATGTGGGGTGATCTCTCTGGCCCCCACTCGTCCTGTCTCTCCTGCAAGGTTCCAGTGTAAATTCACGGTCAAGTGTTCAAGAGACAGCCTTTCCATACCCTTGAAAAAGCAAGATCCCAAAGGGCAGTATCCTCTGAAGTTTTCTTTGCATGAATTCAAGACAGCAGAGGACCAAAATTTCATTTTTTCTCTAAAACAGGGATTGTGATAGCACCTCTCTAATTGGGTTGTGGTGAGGACTAACAGTGGCCCCTTGCCCGAATCATAGAGCCCAAGGTCTGGACCATTCGCACCATTCAATACATGACAGCTCTTCTCCCGAAACCTGTCATTTCATAAAATAAGAAAAGCAGCCAGTGAAACAGAAAGATATCCTCTCTCCCTAGTATTCAAAGGAATACAAATGTTTCAAAGTTTAGACAGTGAAAAAGATTTTCAAACAGGCAAATAAATGTCTAGCATAAATGAGCCAGACATTCTTCCTGCCAACAGTTCACTAGAATCAGTAAAAGGTAATGCCAGAGATGTTAAAAAGCCCTCAGTGTTAATGCTCGTTGTTATTCATTTCAAAAGATGACCATCATTTCCTGGATAATGGAGGAGGAAGTCCAAAATCATGACAGCCTATACCCTGGAAATTCTGGTGACTCTGATTAAGGGCCCAGTACACAAAAAATGGATACAGCCTAAAGAGTCTATGAATTCAGAAGCACTCTGCTACAAGATGTATCACTGGATGCTGAGATCCAAGCAGACCGGGCAATGGCTCCCTGCCCAGATCCTGCTCTGTGGGCTGTATCTCAGCTGCGGACGTAGGTATAGGCCAACATGTCAACAGTGGCTACTTGAATTCCTGCACTCTGAGGACTGCTTTAGAATCCAAGACCACAGGAATTTTAACATCTCAGCATGAATCTAATATGCCTCCATAAAATTTATAATAGACTGACCAAATTTATAACAGCTTGACCAAAAAGCAATACTGGCCAAGACAGCCAAAAATGGAAAAAAACCACAAACACAAAAATTTGATTATTCTAGAATTTCAATATAACGTCCTTGTTCTTTATCATTTTAGTGATGACACTGTAAACTTCCAGTGCTAATACCCAAGCTGGGTACTATTTGCAGGCATCGACTTTCTAGTGGTCTGTTTCTAGAATATTAAGTGAACACTATCTAGAATATTAAGTGAACACTATCTAAAGTACAATCCAGGGTCGCCTGGCTGGCTCAGTCAGTAGAGCATGCACCTCTTGATCTCAGGGTTATGAGTTCAAACTCCACAGTAGGTGCAGAGCTTACCTTAAAAAAATACAACTGCTCTAGAATAACATTACATTATATAAACTAATTAGTAAATTTTCATAGTGAAAATAAAATGTGCTTTAAAGTCTACCAAATTGAAGTGGCCGGGATGGTTCAGTCTTTTAAGTGTCTGACTCTTGATTTCAGCTCAGGTCACGACCCCGGGGTCATGCTCTGCACTGGGCGTGGAGCCTGCTTAAGATTCTCTCCTTCTCCCTCTGCCTCACCCTCCTTTCTCTCTAAAAATAAAAAATAAAAAAATAAAAGTCTACCAAGTAAAACTCGAATGAAGTTGAGAAGTTTTAGAGCTGTCGTGAAACCTGTAAATATCTGTCACTTTTCATGAATTAGCCATAGTGACCAACCCGCACCCCCCCCCCCCCCCCGCAAAAAAAAGGGAAAAAATAAATCAAGACATCTGGACACTCTTTGGGCGGGCCTCTACTGGCCCCTATGAATAGGTTCACATATACTGACCTCAAAGAGATGGGAGGAGGCAAAAAAAAAAAAAAAAAAAAAAAAAAAAAGATTTTCCCATCTCAGCATGTGATTTCTATCACTCTGTTCATTGTCACAGTCTACATAAGCCATCCACTGGCTTCTTTTTTTTTCTTTTAATTATGAAACAATTTAATAAAGCTTTAAGTACTTTAACTAAGGATATTTAATACTCTCAAAGACAGTTTCAATCTGAGTTTTCCCATCATGCAAATCATCTCCTGACACACAGGAGTGAGGAATATGAAATCTTCTAATGCCACTAATGTGGCAATAATATCCAATTAATACATTATAAAACATTCTAAAGTGTCGGTGCTAAGTCATTTTTAAATGTATGCTATGCAAGATCTACTGGCTTCTCTTATTCTCGTTTACCGCAACAGAGTAAGCACCAGGCACAACACTAATAACCACCTATGTTACTATTTCGTCTAATCCTAACAAACTGAACAGACACTGACATTTTTATTCCCTTTTTGGAGCTGAGGCACCTGATACCCAGAGAGCTTAAGTAATTCTCCCGGGGATCTGGGTCACAGTCGCACCCAGAGCTGAGTCCATACTCACACTCTGAACCACCTCCCTCAGCAACCTGGTTGAGGTCTTTAAAAATAAGGACTTCTAATTGGGTCTCACCTTAACCGCCATCAAGACAACTAAGTCACTTCCACTCCTCCTCATCCCTTCTATTTCCATTATGAAAAGAACACACCCAGTCAGGGGCATGGAGAGGAGTCCCCAGGAAAGACAGCCACGCCCTGTAGCGGGCCTGGGACACAGGGAGGAGGCTGGGCCCAGGGGGTACCTTTTCTGCGATGCCGTTTTCCGTCGTGTAGATTGCCATGAGCTCGGTGTCTTCATTGTCCTGTTCCCCGCTGGACGTGGCACCTCCATTTATCACCACCTACAGAGAAACACTTCATTTATAGGCTGTTTCACTGCACATCGCTGCACTGTGTGGTAACATTCTCCCCAGACGCCTTTTATAATTTTTGTAACAGACCCGAGCCATGTGTGTTCTGCCTACCAAATCGGCCGAGTTTCAGGTTTTCTTAAAAGAACCCCTGGACAAGTGTGCACCGCCTCAGCAACTGTGTGTGTTTCTGGCAGCGGCGAGCAGTGCACTGCAGGTCCCACAGGGGAGGCCGGAAATGGAGCGGCCCCAGAAAGCCCTGGGAGCGCCCCCCGACCCCCAGAAGGCGTAGTGAGGCTCCAGAGCCTCGGACTCTGTTGGGGGTTGGGGGGAAAGCATCCTACGCTGCCTCGGTCAAGATCCCTTCCCAAGTCACCACATGATGATGATTCTGAGCGGCGTACCCCGGTAGAAGCACTGCTCATAACCCAACGTGCTGTCATTTCACACTGTGATTACTATGCAAACTAGCTTCCCAGCGCAGGCGCAGGCAGGCAGTAACAGGTTGCACTGGACGAGCGTCGGGGCTGTTCATGCTGACAAAATCTAGTTTCTGGGCCCTCGAAGTAAGGACCAGAACTGATCACCACCGTCACATGTGCCTGCCCTGATGAGGCACATGGAGTCATCTTAGGTCTTGGAAGCCTGTAGCAATCTTAAAATATTTTTACTCTTTAGCCAAATGGCTCCATTTCTAGCAATCTATCTTGAAAAATTGGTACTGAAAAATAACTATGCAAGAATAGCAGCACAACTTTATTTTTAAAATATAGAGAAAAAAAGACAAAGTACATAAAAAGTTTAACATCTAGTATTGTAAAGTATATTAAAGAGAAGTAAAAAATCAGTGATGGGGTAAAAGGTGGTCCAGCGCAACGTCTATAGGCCACAAAGGTCGGTATCAGCAGTTGGTAAATACCTGCAAATCAATAAAACAATCCACAGGAAATGGGCAACTGACAGGAATCTACAACTCACAGGAAAAAATTTAAATATCTAAAACACATGATTAGCTGTCCAACCTCATTTAAAATTATAGAAATGAAATTTTTAAAATTTTCACTTTTTAACATAAATTAGGGGAATATTTTAAAAGATGAATCTGCTGTTGACCAGGATGTAGGGAGAAAAGCTACTCTCAGTTATCAGAGAGATTACATTCTTGGTGGACTGGCCTTTTTTTTTTTTTTTTTTTTTTTTAAGATTTTATTTATTTATTTGACAGAGAGAGATCACAAGCAGGCAGAGAGGCAGGCAGAGAGAGAGGAGGAAGCAGGTTCTCTGCTGAGCAGAGAGCCCGATGCGGGGCTCGATCCCAGGACCCTGAGATCATGACCTGAGCCGAAAGCAGAAGCTTAACCCACTGAGCCACCCAGGCGCCCCTGGACTGGCCTTTCTTGAGGGTAAGTTACCACCAGAACAAAACAGGCATCTTCTTGGACGCAGCAATTGCACTCACAGAAACTCATCCCTCCAGAAATATCCATGCAAATGGTATGTGCATTCAAGACTGATGACTGATATTTAAAATGCTGAATCCCTGGAAACAACCTAAATGTTCAAAAAAGACACTACAACCAATGGGAGAAAAATAAAGATAAACATTGTGAGATATAAGATACTGATTTCAAAAATAATGTGACTGAAAAGAAAAAGCCGTTAAAAAAGAAAAAATAAACTAATGTACTGACAAGGAAAGAACTCCAAAAAATATTGTTTCTTTAAAAAGTCACAAAATAGGGGCACCTGGGTGGCTCAACAAGTTAAGCCTCTGCCTTCAGCTCAGGTCATGATCTCAGGGTCCTGGGATCGAGCTCCGCGTTGGGCTCTCTGCTCAGCGGGGAGCCTGCTTCCCTCTCTCTCTCTGCCTGCCTCTCTGCCTACTTGTGATCTCTCGCTGTCTGTTGAATAAATAAAATCTTAAAAAAAAAAAAAAGTCACAAAATAGGGGTGCCTGGGTGGCTCAGTGGGTTAAAGCCTCTGCCTTTGGCTCAGGTCACGATCCCAGGGTCCTGGGATCAAGCCCCGAGTCAGGGTCTCTGCTCAGCAGGGAGCCTGCTTCTTCCTGTCTGCCTGCCTCTCTGCCTATTTGTGATCTCTGTCTGTCAAATAAATAAATAAAATCTTAAAAAAAAAAATCACAAAATAGTAAGCCTAGAATTATCCTAATTATGCTTTTTTAAAAAATCTTAATAACCTCCCTGTTTTGAACACTTGGGAAAGGATGTAGAAAGGCTCCAAACCAATGATAGGAAGGTTACCCTAGGGACAAGGACTAATGATGGGCACACCTTTCATTTTTTATTCCCACTCCTCCTTTAACATTTGGGTCTTTTATAATTGGCATGTATTTTTGAGTTATTTGTTTGCTGCCTTTTTTTTTAATTTTTTTTATATTTTATCATGTTACATTAGTCACCATACAAGTATGTCATTAATTTTTGTTAGTGATCCAAGATTCATTGTTTACGTATAACACCCAGTGCTTCATGCAATATGTGCCTTCCTTAATACCCATCACCGGGCCAACCCTTTCTAAACAAACAATAAAAAAGATGTCCACCAAAGTATTAACTATGGTTGTCTTTAATCAGTGGGGCCATTTTCACCTTTTTCCCTTTATGTATTCTGGAATTACCTATAATGAGGACAACTACTTTTTAAAATGGGGAAGAAATTATAACGACTAAAGATCTAATAAGCAGCACAGCTTAGATTGAGATGGTCCAAAGATACTTCAATCCCCCCCTTTTTAAATAGTTGAACAAATCAGGCAGTGAAAAATTCAACTTCTTATACAGATTGATAACCCAAGCGTTGAGGCTACTTTAAAGAATGCCAGAGATCTGCACTAACTAGTACGTAATTTTTACAGAGTAGAGTTTTCTTATGGCACCTCGAACATTTATTTCTAGGACTACCTCTTAAGTCATGAGACAGCTTTTTTACACAAGTTACCTGGGTTTGGGACATTTGTTTGCCCGTAAAACCAGCTGCCAGCAAGACAGACCTTCCCAGCCAAGTTCAAGTCTACAACAGGAAACACTAACATACTATCAGAACCATGCTCCAAGTCCTATCACAGCAGTGCTCAGCCCACGGAGACGCCAAGATGTACACACACTCACGATGAACTCTCCTACAACAACAACGCTCAGTTACTAAATCATCAAAGAAACCCAGATCGGATTCAACGTCCTGTCCTGGCTAAAACCCCCTTCATCTGCACACACGGCCCGCTGCCATGGAACAACCGCTCCGTGGGGACAGGGCTTCCTTCAGGGTGTTGAAAAGGTTTTGGAACTAGGCAGCGGTGATGGCTGCCCAACACTGAACGTGCTACGTGTCACTGAATTGTTCACTTTAAAGTGGTTAATTTAGTTAACCAATTGTGAGCATTTCACCTCAATGATTTTTTTAAATTCATATATTGGCATGAAACAGGAGATTTTGGCAGGATTTATCAATTCCCATGCCTTTTCGGACTTACTCCACACACACACACACACACACACACACACTCTCTCTCTCTTTCTCTCTCTCTCTCTCTCACAATGAGGTAAACACACACACACACACACTCACAATGAGGTAAACACAGACACACACACACTCACAATGAGGTTAAGTACTATAAGATGCAAATGCTTCCCAGCCCAGGCAAAGACTCACATATTCATTCGACGAAAAGTCTGAACACCTGCAGTGCCCAGGCCATGAAGATGCAGTCCTGGCACGCCACCGCCCCCCCACCCCTGCCTCCAAGGAGTGCCACCTGCAACAGGTGCCAGGCTCAGGAATTCGGACTGGAGACAAGGGGCGCCCCGCAGGGAGCTGCAAAGCTGGGGCAAGCAGAGACGGGCCACGGCAGGACGCCCCTGCAGAAGGCCGCTCTGCTGGTGGCAGGCGAGTGGAAGGGCGAGGTGCGGTAAAGGGCTTGACAACGGGAGCAGAGGCAGGCAGACCTTTAATGAGGCTGCTGTGGGGCACTCAAGACAGCAGCCTGGGCCAAGGTGTGAACAGCGCTCTGGGACAGGTAGTGTGGTTCGGGAGAGAGCAAGGATGTGGTCCTAATGCCGCTGGAGACTGCCGGGATGGGAGCACAGCACTGTGGCTGCTGGGGGTGGGCGCCAGGCAGACACCACCGCAGTCGGGACGGGTAACACACTAGCCCTGCACTGAATGTCGGGGCGGGGGGGGAAGGCATCGCGGCCACTGTCCAGTTCAATCGCCTGGGCCCTGGGCAGATGTGAGTCCTGGTCCCAAAGAGGCTGGTGCAGGCAGGGCCAGGGAAACCAACTGGTACAAGAGCAGCGTTTGTAAGCCTATCAGAAAGGTGGCTGATTCCTGGAAATCACACAGGACGCTTACTTTCCCAGGCCAGTGCAGGATGTTTATTTAACTATAAAGAGGACTGACCTAAATCACCATGATTTCTAAGATTTTTCCACAGGCCAAGCCGTGCCTGAGGACCTCGGAGTCCACCTTCCATCCCCATCAGCCTCCAGTTCCAGAGCTGCACTGCTGCCCTCCACCCTGGCGCCCTCATCCCCAAGGGGAGAACACATCCTACTCCAGCGCTCTACCATGTCCTGGAAGGTAAGAGGTTCTGGAGCAAGCGGCAGATGACCGAAGTTTCTACTGAAGGGAGAGGAAGACCTGGCAACGGAGAGAGGTGAGGGCAACAGGAGGTGGGGACGCCCACCAGGGCGCCTGCCTGACCCGCCACCTCCACCGTGCGCATGCAGGAAACGACCAAACATGACTGAAAAAATAAAACACTGCTTTGTTTTACTAATATGTTTCCTTTGGTTTACTAAATTAGCTATTCTGATGCTTTAGGGTTTTTTCTAAATGTGAAATTTTTTAAAAATCAAATTTAAAATCCATTCTTCAGAAAAGCACAGATTTTAAAAGGATTAAAAAAAAATGTTCCTGGTACTATCAGCACTTCACATATTTGAATCTCTAAATATTACTTCAACTGGGAA